TCACACTTTACCCTACGAACTGGATTGTAGTGATTCAGTGCCTACGAGGCGACCAAGATTCGCTTGGTGTTCCGAGGCGCTGGAAAACACCTTCAGATATCCGTGTGACGCAACATGCGTATTGGAGGAGGGTGCATGCTGAGGCTACGTTCCCGACCGAGCTTTGAGCAGTGGGCCGAGCCCGGTTGGGTTTGGCCAGGGGACGAAGAGGGTACCTTCCTTCCCACGTGTATGAAGGCGATCTCAAGGAGCAAACCTCCACCAAAGCCTGCGGGAATTCGCAGGTGCTCTGAAGCTACACTGGCCAAGTGGAGGGCGGACAACTCTAGGTATCCGCCTTACCAGTATTTTCTCAGAGTTCTTGTTCTGGCAGGACTCGCAGTGGCGGCTGGCTACTTTGTCAGAGCGGGAGCTTTTGCTGGGGTATGGCTTGGAGCACACCGCGGTGTGCCTCTCGGCATCTCAGCAAAAACAACTGGGGGATCGTGCAGTTGAGGACATCCGATGTTCTCTCTTAGGAGATTCGTTCTCGGCGTTTTCCTTCGTAATTTGTGGGGCAGCCATGTGCCGGAACTTTCTTCCACAGATGACATACGGATGGCTGGTCGAGCGAATGGGACTCTCACCAGGTTTCGAGCACCCCTCAGAGCACGGGCTCCCCTAGGGCGCTTCTTGCAGTACGGTTATAGGACACTTGCTGTAAGTAGATCTGTTGATGTGGGAGACCTCAACCCGGTTTTGCTTACCAAGGTTAATTACTCTGGATCTGATATTCGTGTCGCGACAGGAGACATTTTAAACCCGCGGGCGTTTCCACGCCAGGGACTAGAGGCCTCGTGGTGGAATTGGACACCGGTCTTCAAATGCCGGTGGGGGCTTGAGGAGCACATCAACGCCCTTGAAGTCAGGTCCATTTTCTTGGCACGACTCAAGTTTCATGTCTTCCGTAGGTGCGCTTCAGATGTTCGAATCTTTCATGCCACAGACTCCTTCGTTTGCGTGAGCGTTATCTCTAAAGGTAGGTCAGGGTCTTGCAAGTTGAACCACATCTTGCAGCAGCTCAATGCCATCTTATTAGGCTTCAACATCTCTTTGATTATAGGTCATGTAGAATCAACACAGAACCCCACGGATGATGCGTCGCGGGCCTAATGGGACGGAGCTCGCGGTCTTTTGCGTTGGGTTGCTGGTGCAAAGCCGAGCGGGCCCGAGAACGCAAGGACATAGTGCTCAAGGATCGCTTGGTCACTCACAAGACCCTCAGTCAGTACTATAAGTTTACTCGCAAGCTTCTTCCGTGGATTCGGCGCTTGACGTCAGATGAGGAGCTGGACGATGCAGTCAGTGCTTGGGTAGAACACTATTGGGAAACGGGTCGACGTTTGTATCAGGTCTCGTGTGCACTTTGTGGACTTCAGTTTTTCACGCCATGGTCAAAAGGGCGCATTTCACAGTCATGGAAACTTTTCCGACTATGGAGGAAACTTGAAATACCGTGTCCGGCGCCCCCGCTCACGGCCGACCTTGTTTTCTCGTTCGCGGCACTTGCGATCCACAGGGGCGACCTCACCTTTGCTAGCCTACTTCTTCTGGGGTTTGAGGGTTTACTCCGCACAGGAGAACTTCTGCACTTAAGGGGCACCGATGTCCTCATCAGGGACGACGTTGGGTCGGTACGCCTTGATGAAACAAAGACCTCTTTTAACAAAGGTGCTGAAGAATTTGTCCCCTTGCAACATCCCTGGGTCCTTATGGTTGTAGGCACGCTCCTGTCATGCCTTGCTGAGCAGCATGATCTTCAAGGGACCACTCTGGAAGGGAACACCAAGCAGCTTTCGGCAGCGTTTTCGTGAGTACTGTTCTCTTTTCCATGTGAAAGACTTGGGGTTCAGACCATACAGCCTTCGGAGAGGTGGGGCAACTGATCTGTTTCAGCGAAGTTTCTCCTACGATCTAGCTCTGGGGCACAGCATCCGTGCGGCTAAACTGTACATCCAGGACGGATTAGCGAGACTTCCCGCTCTCGCCATGTCAGACAGAGCAAAGGTCACGATTTCCAAGTGGTACCCCCTCTGAGCTGATTTCTGAGTGCTACTAGTTTCTGTTTTTCCCCTTTTCATCTTTTTCAGGACAAGTACAGGGACTTGATCCAGCGCCTACCTCTGCCGGGAGGTGTAGTCCGGACAACTTTCAAGTGCTCCTCCCAGGAAACAGAACAGACAAGGTGAATTCTAAGGCTTTCCACCCCAAGCCTTCTAAAGAGGCAGACTCAAAGTGAGTCAAGAGAGCGCCTCAGGTGCACTTGCAGCAGAAAAGGGGTGAGTTGGGAGACACAATCTATTGATGCAACTGGAAGAGGATTGTTAAGTCAGTATAAAGCTGGAAAGAAGATGCGGTGACACGACGCCAGGCATACCTGAGCTGAAGGGGCACGTAACCAAGGGTACGGAAAGCCGCGTTTGCCTTCAAAGTCTTCTTGGTCTTGTAGTTCGCTTTGGCTTTTGCATGTCCAACCCAAATGAATCGAATAGGTACTAGACAGCTATGTTGCCATGGTCAATAGCGAGTCGGATGAGTGATGGCATGACGCAACAACGATCATAGAAGGTAATACTCCAAAAGTGTGCGCTATCTTCATTCACTGCATTTCACACTGCCGTAAATCACCAGGGTTCATCATGTTGCCATTGGAGTTGCCCAAAGCCCCACTATGGACCGTACTTTACCCTATTTTTATGCTCTGTGAGGCAGAAGCCATTGCAAATCGCGATGTTTTTAAGCTTGTCGTGGCCCAAAACACCGCAAAACACCGCAATTTACCACGTTTTCAACGACGTGGTCGCCAAACGCACTGTTATTTGCAAGCTTTTGTACATTTTCGCGCAAAGTCGTCGAGCCTCCGCATGTACAAATATGTCGCAAAAACCAATGTTTCTGCCCGACAATACTGCGAAAACCGTCACCCAAACAGCGAAATCACAAAATCTGGTCCCCCGGCCTCCCGACAAGACACATGAAACAGATACGCGTCTCAAAACCGAAAATCGAAGACCAACAGTAAAAAACACAGTTTTTATTTTTTGATCTTGCCGGTTCCGGGCGGGCGCTGGCACGAACTAGTCCATTCCGTGCTGTAAAACACAGTGTTTTTAGTTTTTGGAAGTCTGCGGTCGCGACCTATCAAAAAAACCATTGTTTTCACCAAAAAATGACCCCCCCTCCCCAGGTAAACCTGTACCTTACAGTTGTTTATGCCATCCGGATGATCACGTCCTGAGCACCTTCGGTGCGGGCGGATTTACATATACTGAAAATGCATTGCAGCATGCAAGGGAACAGTAAAAAATAGTCTTGGCCGCAACCTACAGGTGGAGCAAAAACAGGCATCGAAAGAAATGTTCAATCCAAAAACAGTTCACGCAGGAAACTGAGGGCGAGAAGCCGGCAAATGACTGTACACTGTACACGGACGAACCTATGCGAATACACCCGCGCAATGAACCTCTTTATCATCATTTCTTACAAGAAGTACATTAGAGGTAGGCTCATATCAAGCAGCTCTCCTAAAGTAAACCTTCATAACCATAAATGTTTACTTTGACAGGTAGTTCATCATTAATGAGAGGAAGATTCACCGCGCCAGAATTCATCAGCTTTGACAAACTGTACAAGACTTGCCTGCAAAGGACTTTAAAGAGTTGAGCATGCAAAGACATTCAGAAAAACTCTCATGTGACCACGTGGAGGTCTCCTTTGAATAGTGGCATTTCTTCTGGCAACACAACGATGTTCTGATGCTCACTCACTAATCCTACCAGCGTCGCTGGTGAGCAGGATAAGTGGTGGTTTTGTGTAAAAATGCCCTGCAAGAGTGTTTTAGAAGCATGTGCCCTAGAAGAGGGTCCCACAAGAATGTCTGCAAGAGTGTCCCGCAAGAGTGCCTTGCCGTGTCCCACGGCAAGAGTGTCCTCACAACTGTCTTACGTATGTCAAGCAAGAGTGCCAAACAAACCGTGTCACGCAAGAGTGTCCTGTAAGTGTATCTAGACTGTCCCACAAGGATGAGCTCGTGTGGTGAAGTGCAGAGCAAGCTGCTTCAGGCCATAGCGCAACAGGGCCCTTCTGAAGGCCATGATGGTGGTGAGTAAGGCGTTGGTGGTGGATTGGTGCCTTTGCTTTGCCAGAGGCTTGGGGTTGAGCATTGGCGGCAAGGAAGCCTGGGTTGCACCTTGTCTGTCCAAATCCAAGCTCTTGCGCACCATGCATCTCCTAGTCATGTCATCTCCTCGGTCACGAACAGGCTGCTGGCAAAGGATATCAAGAAGAATCGCCGGCAGTCTCCAAGGCCCAAAGTGCCCCACCCTGGAAGAAGAGATGCCGATGATGTCCTTGTCCTCCGCGATTGCGAGCAAAGTGCCTGCACTCGTGGGGCTCAAAGAGGAGGTGGCGCCATGCAAGGTCTCAAGGATATGTCGAAGCGCGGTCTCGCCGCGTACCGCGCTAGCCCGACTTCAACGGGCTGCGGGCTTGCGCAGCAAAGAATGCAATGAATGCATGCATGAATGCATGCATGCGTGTATGTTTGTATGTATGTACTTATGTATGCATGCGTGCATGCTTGCGTGCGTGCGTGCGTGCGTGCATGTATGTGTGTATGTGGCTTTGCGCCACGCTTTTTTTCTTGCGGACCTCCGAACGTGGCCCAAAAAGATGTGGACCGGATTGGTGGACAAGTGTTGTTCATGTCTGTCCGTTTTGCCGCTTCATTTGGGGCTTGGAGGTTGGTATGAGCAAGGCAGTCTTAGAATTGTGTTGTAAAAAGGGTGTGACAAACTGACAAACTGATGATACAGTTTTGGCGCATTCTCTCCGCGCAAATCAAGTCAAACTCTTTCCATAGGTGCCCCCCGTGTTTGTATTGTTGTGGACATTGGGGCGTGCAGCATGCCATGTTGACATACAGTAGTTGTTTGTGTTTTCCAAGGTGCCAGCAAACTTCCCTCACACAGAACCCAGCACAAATTGAAATCATTGACAGCGCCGCCCTGGGCGACCTTCGGTGCAATGTCAGCTTGGACCTCAGATGCGCCAAGCTTCCACACACACACACACCCAATATAACTCATAGCCAAACGTTTTGCCATTGGCAGTTGCAGTGGCAGTATCCACAACTGAACGGGCACCGCTTTCTCTGGAACTGCTTGTGACGCCTCGAGCCAGCGTGCTCAACTGCCCTACAGTCCCATAAGTTACTTTGTGACAAACAAGTGTTGCTGCCCAACCAAGACTTCGGAGTCATTGTTAATCCCATGCATGGTGGCAGACAATCATTTTCGATTTCCAGTGGATATGCTTTGCCAAGTTGTGCCCGGGTGCTTGCCAGGGTTCGAGCATATAGAACAAACCCGGTATACTGCACTCAGAATTTGTATACAGTAGTAGGAAGTGCCAGTGCTGGTTGTGCATGCTGTCACGGCAACTGTGAGCTGGCTGCGCACTGTTGCAACAGGGTAGCCATTGGTGGTCCGGTAAAGACTATTCTGTAAAACGATGATGGTTGGAAACCTAAAATAACCCACTCGGCCCTCAGACCTGCCAGGCGCATTGTATGATTCTAAAGTGTTGTTTTGGATGACTTGATCCATGGGATGTGCAGATGTGTGAATCCTGAGGATTGTACATTGGACATGAAGTCTGGCAGGAACATGTTGCTGACATGAAGATATTAGAGGTTACCTGGAGTGTCCTGCAGAACTACATGACCCAATCCGTTCGTCCATGGCGTCACGTAGGAGCAAAACGAAGAAAATGTCAGCAAATGAATTGGGATGGCGCCTGAAAAGGATTGACAGGACGGAGTGGGATCAATTACTTTGATCAGCTGTTGCTCTCGATTTGGGACGGGGAACATAGTGTGTGCCGGCATGATATCAGTTGTGATTGATAATGAACCTGAGGTCACAACCTATGACGCTTGACTTTAAGAATGGGCTGCTTGCTGTCAGTCACATGCTTTGTTTGTGGTTGGGTGAACAATTTATAGTTTTGTGATCATTTTCCCAAGGACAGCTCTTTCAGCTACCGCCAAGATCAAGTTGCTCGATTGGGTGAGAGGGCAAAAGCAGAAACGACTGAAGAAGACAGACGCACCTTGACTCTTGAAACAGTTTACTCTTCAACTTTTAAGAAGGCTTTTTGCCTAGACTTTAGCAGCCTCAAGAACTGAACCACTCGTAAGCCGAGGAAGATTTCAGCAAAGCCCATTCATGCAGCGCATGAGGGAGATAGACGAACGGGCTTGGCAACAATTTAGCGAGCGTGACAAGAAGCGCACTCAGACAGACCCTAGCTTTAAACCGAAGGATTCAGATTTTGAGGCGCCAAGAACCATCAAATATGACAAGGCTGTGAACTATTACAAGACTTTGGGCGTTGACGAATATGCAACCAACGATGAAATCAAAAAGGCCTACAGGAAGTTGTCTTTGAACTACCACCCAGACAAGCAGACAGGAAAGACGCAAGAAGAGATGGACGAAGCGGCAGCAATTTTCATGGAGATTAAGAACGCTTACAAGCTGCTCAGTGATGATCCCACTCGTCGGCAGTATGATTTTGACCGGGACAGAGATGTTGTAAGTGCTCAGTCACATGGGAAGAAACCACAAGAAAAGAACGGCTTTGATGCAGGTGAAGCCCTCCAACGCATGCTTCAGAAGGCTGCGGAAAACAAAAAACTCCCCAGTGAGATCATCACTGTGCCCGTCCATTGTAGGGTTGAAAAGTTTGTGTTTGGTGGGCAGAAAACGTTGAAGCGCACGCGGCTAGTCAAAGACCGCAGCTACGGTGGCTACAAAGAAGAGCCCAAGACATTCCGGGTGGATTTGCCAGCAGGTGCAGAGCAACCCTTTAGTGTGGAGTTTCGCCGTCAGGGTGATCAGCACGATGGAAGGGAAGCAGACACGATCCGATTTCTTTTCTCTTCCAAACCTCATCTATCTCTAGAAAGGGATGGACAGAACCTAAGGCTGAGAGATCGTGTGCGATTAGAGCTGCCAATGAGGAAAGAGTCGTACCTTTCCGTCAGCCTGTCTGCCTTCGCTGGTCGGCAGATCTTCCTTTGGGGTCGGAAGCTCTCCTGAAGTGGAAGCTGAAGCATCAAACAAGACAAGGTACTTATAAAAAAATATATATATATGTTCCCATGATTTCTTGGCCGCAGCTCTTTCGACGGTTCAGGGAGTGCATGAGCCTTGTGCATTCCCCCGCGGCGCAGGCGGGGGTAGTAGCGGCCATCGTTGCGTCGCTTTTCCGTGAGCCCGCGCAGGCTCTTCTGCCCTGTTTTTGTGAGGAGGTCCGGTACCACTGGCCTTCCATCCTTGCTGGGATCCTGGTTGGGCTGGTCATTGGACAGGTGGTTGAGTGGCTCATTCTCCTTCGAGCTGCTTTGGGTTTTCAGCTGCGTAGTCTGCAGTTCTGGACCCGGAATCTGCATCTAGCTAGGGCACGCCTTGCATGAGCACCCCTTTTTCTGAGGAGCTGGTCACCTTGCGTTCAGAGTTGCGTGCTCCCCAGGAGCGAGTGAGTCTGCTGGAGCAGCAGGCTGTTGAGCCTCGCTCGGACGGGGGCCCCGCCACCGTTGTTCTGGTCACCGTGAACTACCATCCCTCACAAACTACAGACAGCCCGGTCGTGACTCGGTCATCGGTGCAGATCGGTTCCCCTTCTCAGGCTCCAGAGTTGCCTGTGGGCACCACCCCTTCTGGTCGTGTCTCAGCCACTTTGTACACTGAGGATTATCGTCGTGAGATCACATTGGGCATCGGGGACTACTTCCGCCGGTGCCTGCAGGGGCATCGGGTCGTCAGGAGGTGAACCTCCCATCCAAAGTTTACGTGCTAGTCCGAGATCTCCAAGGCCGTCTTTACGATCCCGTTGAGGTTTTTACGACCTTTGGTGCTATTCGGCCTCACGTCCGTGACGGTGACTTTTTGGGGGAATCCATCTTCGTGGGCTTCCCCACTCAGTGGGAGGCAAAGCTCGCGGTTCAGCAGGCAGGTCTGCGCTGGCCTGCGTAGATGATGGAAGGCGATGAGGAAGATGTTGATGGCCAGCCCTTGACTCAGGCCGAAGTGCTTAGGCAATGTGCTGTGCTGTCGGAAGAGTTCGACCAACCGTCGGTGGAATACCCCATTGGTGTTTGCGAAGTCACTTCATCAGCTGGGCTTTCATTGAGGGTTGCAATTATATGCATTGGGGAGTGGTCTGGGTCCTTTTTGGTTGCAGTCCCACATGCTGCATGGCATCGTACAGTGGCCCGTAGGCAACTCCCATCTTCTTTTTGATGAAACCAAGTGCATGTGACGTCTTGTTGGCTCCATCGAGAGATCCTGCCGCCGAGACGACTACTTCAAAGATTTGGATCGGGTGGCTATCCCCGGACTATTGGGACTCCGTCTCATTTGACACAGGAAGCGCCCCTGATCTTTCCATCCCGTTTGATGAGGATGAACTTTTTCTGCCACTAGCTACAAGTCTGGTCGCAGCAGCTCAGCCTTTTCTCCCGAGTCAGCAGCAACGGCCCAGTTCATTTGAATCAGTTCTCCCTGAGGCGGAGACCTCGCTGGGCCCTCGTGTTGCTGCCTTGGAAACCAAATTGACAGAGATCAAAGACCAGCTCGCCTTGTTGGTGAAGTTGCAACGGCCTGTCTCTCAGACTGCTGAGAAGCCGGCTGGAGCAGTTCGTGTCGCTGTACCCGGAGGTAGGCCAAAAGCATCAGCAATAGCCGAGCAACCGGCATACCCTGGATTAGATCCTGCAGTAGTTCATGCTGCGCTGGCTGCTGGTATTCCAGCGTCTCAGTTGGAGGACATGTCAAGAGTCGCAATCACTGGAAAGCCTCGCCTGCCTGACCTTCCTCGCCCTCCGCCTGGGCGCAAGGACCCGCTGTCGGAGAGCGAAGATGAGGTGCAAGCCCTGGCAGAGTTAGATGCCCCGGCGGGGGAACAGAAGGAGACCAAGTTGACGGCGATCACCCAGCACCTTGCAGTTCAGAAGAAGAGAGACATTTTTTTGGAGGCTTTGCTCGACGGATCTGGCTCTCTCGGGTCGTCAGAGTCAAGTGGTGTGCCCGCTTCCAGAAAGAATGCTGCGGCCCTTCGTGCTCTTCGGAAGACCCTGACATCCGACCCCGAGAAGATCTCCCGCGTGATCGAATCCAACATGGAGGCCGATTTCCAGTTGAGGAGGACCGGTCTCCCAGGTTCATCGATGGTAACAGTGAGCGCTCGAGCGTGGTTGGAAGCCCGGTCCAGGGTGCAAAATTTCAAGACCCCTGTCACTTTGCTTTGGGGTATTGCAGGCATCCTGGATGCCTTGAGGGTGCAGCGTCCGGAGGAAGCTCGAGCTCGGGCTTGCCTTCTGCTTTGTCAGGGCGACCAACTCTCGATCGACAAGGGAAGTTGGATTGTGGCGGCTCCTATGTCTCTCGAGGATCCACCTCCTTATGCGGTTTTTGCCACCCATACATTGCCAACAGAGAGCGAGAGTCAGGTCACAAAGTTGATCGACAGCAGGTGGGTCGACCTTTTTCTTCATCATTTGAACGAGGTCGATCAGCTGACGGAGAAGAAGAAAAAGCTTGCCTTCAAGAAGCAGCAAGATCCACCTACTGGGGATGCACCTGTGCCAAAGCGCGGCAACAAAGGCAAAGGGGCCGGCAAAGGCTCTGGCTCAGCCGGCACTGGCAAGGAAGCAACAAAAGAGAAAGAAGCGGCGCAGTGAAGCTTGAGGAGCCCTTGGGTCCCGCACTCGGCTGCCAGATCCCTTGTGACGGTTCTCCTGTGCCGAGTTCTTCTTCGCCAGCGCAGAACGTTTTCTCCCCTTCGGGAGTTGACGTTCCTGCGGTATTGGGTCCGGGAAGCCGTCGCGAGGGTGAGCGCCTGCCTCCTGCCGGGGCCAGCGGAGTGGTGACCCGACTACCAAAAGGTTTTGCTCAAGAGTTGAATCGGCATATTATGACTAGAGCTGCATGGTCCCGGCTGTTGTCACCCTGGAAGAGCTATCAGAAGCGTCTGGATCGTTTGCTGCCTGAGGACGAGGTTCCTGTTGGAGAAGAGCCTGCACAGGCTCATCCGCTGTGGGTGCAACTCTGTCGGTCGTGCCAGTTTTATAGCTGTTTCAACTTCAGAGCACCTGTTCAGCAACACATCAACATCAAGGAGCTTAAAGCATTGTTGACAGCTGAGGGGAGGCATGCTGAACATTTTCCTTCTACACGCTGCAGCATTGGTACTGATTCTCAAGTGGTCCTAGGAGCAGTAGTCAAAGGAAGGTCGTCCTCTAGAGCTCTCAACTGGCTGTTGCAGTGTCATATACCAACTTTGCTGGTTTACAATTGTTGCTCCGGACAAAACTATGTACCTTCTGCTGATAACCCTGCTGATGACCCCACTCGAGATAGACAACTTCGCAGCCCAGTGGAGCCTCCTCCTGCATGGCTGCAAGCAGCTTTTCGAGGGGACTTCCAGCCACTTGATGATTTTCTAGCAGACCAAGGGGTGAGCGACGCTGTCTTAGCCCGTTTACGGAGCTTCACTGAGAGTGCGCTCCCGCCGGACTGGTTGGAGTCTTGCAGGAAGTTGAGGAGGCGATTGTTCGCTCAGCAGTCAGGAAGAGCTGTCAACTGCTCGGCTCGGCCGGAAAAGTCCCGGGCAGAAAGCGCACTGTTTCCCGAGGCAGAAGCTGGAACTCCAAATTTGCTGGCATCGAGTTCCCAACTGTGGATGACGGTCAACCGCCGTCCGTTGTCAGGAGAAGCGAAATCACTACTTCGAGCTCTCCCGGAGGAGTACTTTGTTTTCCCGCCTGGACGTACTGCAGCCCAAAGACGAGCTTTGATGAGCCATCCTGGTTGCTTGGATTTGTTTTCTGGCAGCCGGGGACTAGCAAAGGCCTTGGCGAGACATGTAGGTTGCTGGGTTTTGACTTACGACATCGCGTTCGATCCGAAGCAGGACCTTCTTGCAAAGCCTACTCAAGAGTACATAGAAATGCTAGTAGCAGCAAAATGTTTTGTGACTTTGACTGCTTTCGAGCTTCTCCCGCGCCGTTCGACCTCCAGTCCGTTCCCGGAGCCGACCGCGCGGTCTACAGCAGCTGTCGCTGAACATGAGACGGAAAGTTGCAGATGGAACCGCGTTCTCCCAGTGGCTGGCAGGCCTTGTAACAAATAGTTTGCATCTCAGCATGTTGGTGTTGGTCGAGAACCCTTGGATGTCGTTCCTTTGGGATCAGCCAGAATGGCAGACTTTGCGGGAGGAGACAGCTTGTGACTTTTTTACTACAGACTTTTGTGTTTGGGGCACACCGTGGCGGAAACGGACAAGATTTTTAGTTAATTCCAGTTTAGCAGGACAAAAGCTGTTATGCCGCTGCCGCCCCCCAGTCGAACACATCAGATTGTCTGGTTATTCATCTCAACATCGCCTCCCCTGGACAAAGGTCGCTGAGGCCTATCCGGCTCGACTTTGCAATGCCGTAGCCTTGTTCCTTCAGAATGACCTGCTGCCAGAGGCCCGACGCAGGCGCCTAGACCTTGCAGCCTGCGCTCGTTGCAATAGACGAATTGGAGAAGCTTCAAAGCCGGGGCGACGGCCTCGGCGACTGAGGCCTGAAGTTGACCTTGAAACTGTTCAACTGCTTTCCTCCCAGACTCTCTTCATTCAGCAGCGAGTGCGGTCGCTTTTTGCCGAGTGGCTAGAGCTAGAACTCAATCCTTTGTCATGGAACAGGATTAGGCTCCGTGCTGACCTCTGGGTCGTTTTTCTGCGAGCCTTCGGTCGACATTTGTACATGACGAGTCAGCCTTTGTACCTTTTCAGGCATCTAGTGGTGTTCTACCAACGGAATTATCCGACTTTTCCAGCCCCGCTCGCCGATGCTTGGGACTTGATAGCACGCTGGGAGAGAGTTCAGCCAGTACAACATAGGACTCCGATGCCGAAGGTGATATTTGATGCAATGATGAGTTTGGCCTGGTTGTGGGGCTGGAAACGGTTCGTTTCAGTGTCCTTGCTTGCGTTCCATGGCAAGTTGCGGATCAGCGAGCCTCTCCGTGCTCGAAGACAGGATTTGCTGTTGCCCAGCGAGACTGGTTCGGATTTACAGGCCCTGTTCATCAACATAGAAAAGTCCAAGACTAGTTACCGTGGCAGAGGCATTATACAACACACAAAAGTGGTCGAGGAGCTCGCCTTGGAAGTGACTGAACGGGTATGCGGTGCTCTCCGCCCAGAAGAGAGTTTGTACCCGGCTACGCCCAGCACTTACCGTCGCCGTTGGGATGCTTTGTTGCACTGCCTACAGATCGACAAAAGTTGGGGGTTGACCCCCGGCACCTTGAGAGCTGGCGGTGCGATTTATGCATACCATCAAGGCCTGCAAGTGACAGAGATTCTGTGGTTGATGCGTTTACGCAACCTCACCACTTTGGAAAGTTATTTGCAGAGCGCAGCAGCCATGAACATTCTTCTTAAGCTTCCTGAACATGTCAGGATTCGAGTTCATTCATTTGCCCAACTTCTACCCTACCTTGTGCGCCTTTCTCCTTGAGCAGCGCGAAAGCACAGACCCGCAGACGCCCAACCCTGCGGACACAGCTGTTGGTAGGTCTGGCAAAGCAGTGGAGGTGGAGCTGCTTCGTTGACGACTTCAAGCCCTGTCGTTGTTTTCAGGCCTTTTCATGAAGCCGTCGTTGGTTGCGAGGCTGAGTTCGATGGCGCCCTCACTCACGTTGTCAGACTGCTGGAGTGGAGAAAAGATAGGGTTAGAGCGTGCGCCGGGCAATCATGTTCCCATGATTTCTTGGCCGCAGCTCTTTCGACGGCCCACCGCGGCCCACCCTGGAGCTGCTTCGTTGACGACTTCAAGCCCTGTCTTTGTGTTTTCAGGCCTTTTCATGAAGCCGTCGTTGGTTGCGAGGCTGAGTTCGATGGCGCCCTCACTCACGTTGTCAGACTGCTGGAGTGGAGAAAAGATAGGGTTAGAGCGTGCGCCGGCAATCATATATATCTTATGGAAAACTTTGGACACTTGCAAGAAGTCTTAATTCACCTAGCATAGTCTTGTGGCTTTCAGGAATCCTTTCTTTGGCTGCGCTGCCGGGGAGGAGGGGGACCTTCTCCTCCACTTGCATGGCCTGGGCGTGGGCGCTGGTACGCTTGACTTGGCTTTGAGGTGCAGCTTGGGCCCGAAGGCGGACTTGCCATTTCTGTCAAGAAAGCATCCAAAGATTGAGACCCTACGGTCCATTGAGTTATGTTAAGATGATTTCAATACTTATACGTGTCTCATTTTGTAACATTTTTTCACTCATTCATTTCCAATCATCTCCATCATCGTCCTGTCATGACAATTGTTCATCATTCTTGACAATCTTCCCCTGTCAGTCGACCACGCGCTGTGAAGCCGCACCACTACCGAAGCTCTCGGAACGGCGGACTTTTCTTGAGCGCTTTGGCCTGGCGCCGAAGAGCGGCTTCTCGTTGAATGCGGGGAGACATTCGTCAGCGAGTGGTGCCGCTGGCCCAACAATTTGGACATTCGAACAACACAACCTTGAGTTTGATTAGCTTTAGCTTAGGACCAGGATCCTCCTCCATGATCTGATTTCAGGGTCGGGGGGCCACCCCCCGTGTCTTTGCTATTGCTTCCTACTTAACCACTGTCTGGTTTGCTCAAGCTTGGTCAAACAACCGCTTGCTTGCGCACGCCGTAGTAGCACTTGTCACTTTCGTTCCGTGCTCGTCCGGTGGACCGCTCTCGAGACAGTGTCTTTCCAGGGGAGCCTTGCTGCAATTGCACTTCGCGTCAACTAGTGCTAGCGGAGCCTGCTCGCGATGGCCACGTCAGGCGATGACACTCGGATGAAGAGTCGATGGCTCTGCGCATGAGTGTTAGATAGCTGCTGATATTCGGTGGTTGTGTCAGTTGGTTCCGTTACGAAGAGGCCGTCGATGATTGGTTAGCCAAAGCCAGCATTGATAAGGCCGAACGTTTTGCTCCACTGTTGAAGACACGTCCAACAGGTGATGCCACGACGCCGGGGATAATTACTCTTGACACTTGACAACACTCAGGCGATATTGCGTAAAATGAGCGCAGAATGTTTTCCTTTACGTAGTGTTCGGTTTCTTCAATCACCGTAGGGGAAACCAAGAGCTCGTGACATTCACTTCGAACCTTGAAATCCTGTTGCGCTGACTTTGGAGTGGCCGGAAGACCTCCACCTGAACGCCCAGCCAAGTCTTACTGGACTGACAGGACAGAACGCGGGCAAGATATGTTGGGTAAATGGCTTGAGATCTGTCAGGACAGGCGCAACCTTTTGTTTCCACTTGCCAATCACTTCATTACGCTGTTCTTCATCATCCTTTCAGAACTCTCAGATGGCCAGCGTGAACGCTTGACCAGTCTGCCCCAGAGCAAGGGAATCCTGGTGCATTGGTAATTGTGACCTCTTCATTATGTCCCGCGCGGCAATTCAAGAGCAATTCAAGATCCGAACATTCGTCCGCGTAACAGGCAACGTTCGTTTTTGATTTTGGGATCAGGGAGAATATGAAGGAGAGGAAGGTTTCTGGGTCGAGGATAAGGAAAACGGAGTGGAAGGTTTATGTCTTTGGACGGCGAAAAAGCATTTTTTGCCATTCATGAGGGGGTAGATGCCTAGCGAGGTAAGGGCAAAAGGAAAAGAGGAGCGTTTAGGTCCTATACTGGATGTCAGACCAAGAAAAGCAACGGTAAGGCCAATGTCGCCGAGGAAGAGCAAGATCCAGATCAGTCTTGCCCCACCGAAAGCAAGCAAAAATAAGCCAAAAGGAAAGTTTGGCAACGATGATGCAAAGGAAGGAAGGCAAGGATAAGTCCAGGCCTTTCCAAGCGTCCGGTGAACAAGGTGCCTCGACCTCTAAGACACGATCCACTCATCTACCCTCCGCCAACTATGCCTGTTGCATTAGCCAGAAAACACAAGCGCTTGTCCAACAAGAACGAACTTCACAAATTGCATATGGAACAGTACCATATGAGATTTGAACCTTTAAGCATCGTACTCATGCACTTCACTTGCCAAAAGAAACCTATGAACTTTATTTTGCAAGTCAGTCGTTGAAGGGTGCGAGACATGTCAGAAGTTCAAATAGTAAAACTAGCGGTCTGAAGCTGTTTGAGAGATGACTTTCATGACTTTCATGGATCATTGTGAGATCTCAGCTCCGTCAGGAGAACCGATCATTGTCTTGAGCATCTTGGACCACACTGCTGACGGTTGACCGCTATTCCTGCTGCAATTGCACTTCGCGTCAACTAGTGCTAGCGGAGCCTGCTCGCGATGGCCACGTCAGGCGATGATACTCGGATGAAGAGTCGATGGCTCTGCGCATGAGTGTTAGATCGCTGCTGATATTCGGTGGTTGTGTCAGTTGGTTCCGTTACGAAGAGGCCGTCGATGATTGGTTAGCCAAAGCCAGCATTGATAAGGCCGAACGTTTGCTCCACTGTTGAAGACACGTCCAACAGGTGATGCCACGACACCGGGGTTAATTACTCTTGACACTTGACAACACTCAGGCGATACTTCGTAAAATGAGTGCAGAATGTTTTCCTCTACGTAGTATTCGGTTTCTTCAATCACCGTACGGGAAACCAAGAGCTCGTGACATTCACTTCGAACCTTGAAATCCTGTTGCGCTGACTTTGGAGTGGCCGGAAGACCTCCACCTGAACGCCCAGCCAAGTCTTACTGGACTGACAGGACAGAACGCGGGCAAGATATGTTGGGTAAATGGCTTGAGATCTGTCAGGACAGGCGCAACCTTTTGTTTCCACTTGCCAATCACTTCATTACGCTGTTCTTCATCATCCTTTCAGAACTCTCAGATGGCCAGCGTGAACGCTTGACCAGTCTGCCCCAGAGCAAGGGAATCCTGGTGCATTGGTAATTGTGACCTCTTCATTATGACCCGAGCAATTCAAGATCCGAACATTCGTCCGCTTAACAGGCAACGTTCGTTTTTGATTTTGGGATCAGGGAGAATATGAAGGAGAGGAAGGTTTCTGGGTCGAGGATACGGAAAACGGAGAGGAAGGTTTATGTCTTTGGACCGCGAAGAAGCCTTTTTTTGGCCATTCATGAACTCCGTAGGGTCGGGTAGATGCCTAACGAAGTGAGGGCAAAAGGAAAAGAGGGGCCAATGTTGGACGAAGCTCATTGGTTTGAGTTTAATGCCGAACAGAAGCTATTTCCTAACGTTTACTTTTCCTTCCTTGAGCGTTCACATTGAGTCTTCCTGTTGATTCTACCTTTGTGCTTCTCAGTCCGATGCCTTCGCAGCCACCAAGTCGCAGTCTGAGTCTGAACTCTGAACTTCGTGACGGCCACCCAGGCTTTCAGGAAGCCAAGCTTGCCGAGATCAAGTCTTGGCTCGACGCAAAAAGTGTTTGATTTAGCCGATAGCGGTAAGATCAATTCCAAGAACTGGGTGACCGGACGTTGGGTCCTCACCGTAATTACACGAGATAGAGACGCTAAGTTCTTGAAACGCATTGATTCTGTTTCAAGCTGAACATGTGAATCATCATCAGGTGCAAGGCCCGATGGGTCCTTCGTGGTTTTCAAGATTGTCAGAAGGACAAGCGACAGACGGATAGCCCAGCTGCCTCACAGTCAGGTTTTCGCGTGGCCGTTCAGTAAGCAGCCGTTGAATGTTGGAATCTTTTCCATATGGACTTAAAAACCGCCTCTCTCCAAGCAAAGCTTATGATTCATCCAGGGACATTATTTGCCAGATCCCCCCTGAAATGGGCTATCCGCCCGACCGACATCCTTGCTCTTATGAAGAGCCGGCCTACGGTGGAACAGCGCCACGTCACCCAGTTCTTGGAATTGATCTTACCGCTATCGGCTAAATCAAACACTTTTGCGTCGAGCCAAGACTTGATCTCGCTTGGCTTCCTGAAAACCTGGGTGGCCGTCACGAAGTTCAGAGTTCAGACTCAGACTGCGACTTGGTGGCTGCCGCGAAGGCGTCGGACTGAGAAGCACAAAGGTAGAATCAACAGGAAGACTCAATGTGAACGCTCAAGGAAGGAAAAGTAAACGTTAGGAAATAGCTTCTGTTCGGCAGTAAACTCAAACCAATGAGCTTCGTCCAGGTAGAGATCCTCTGCGTGGAGGTTCTGATCATCTGGATCACTCGGCAAGAACCTACAATCAACCGTCTCGTCATCTTCTGCTTCATGAATTTAGTGAGCCCGATCCCGCTAGTGACTGCTAGTGAACCGGCTCAGGAACGGCCGCGTAGGGCCAGGCATCTCAAAGCTTCAAGCCCAGGACGGCTGAGCGCATTTGCTCGAATCCTGCCAAGGAATCGCAGGATGTCTCTGTCACGCTGCTGGGACGAAGGCCAACCCAATCGTCTTTTTGGAGCGCGTCAACAGGCTCCGGAAATTTGCCAAGACTCCAAGAACCATGTGGGCACGGTGCAACGCTGACAAATTCAATCAGGACACGCGTCTGGCAAAGGCTAACGTCTCATTCTGCTATAGACGGCTGGGCTCAAACCAGCGCCGTGCATGACAGCTCGTTCATGCTGAGGCTGCTGTAAGCCCGCAGTTGGTCTGTATGGTCTGTACGCCGGCAATAAGATCCTAAGAGGCATTGATGCCGAGCAAATTTGCCAAGATCGTCCACACCTCCGTATGCTGGCTGCCACCTCTCCTGCGCCAAGAGGTCCATGTGGCCGATGATAAAACCAATGTGACTCCTGATTACTATCGGATGAATCTTTACAAGTAATATGATATGACTTGACCTATTTTGACGGACGGACCGAACATTTTATATTATTACCAGCGCTCCAGGATACTGCAGTCCATGGAACACATCCAGAAAGGCAGTTAGGAACGGTGGCCAGCGAACGAATACCAGTCTTTTGTGGCTACCAAGCAGGAACTGCAAGATATGATCTATAAAACTCCAAGAGGCCATGTCGTGTACCACCTAGACATAGCGCTACAGGTCAGCATTCCTTGGTAAATTTTTGTCCGGCTCCAATCGTTGTCCAAAGGATGTCTGCCGTTCGAACATCAATATGGCCAAGGTCGTGTACAACGACACGGGTCATTTGCAGGACCACCCTAAGACTGTGCCATACATCTGGTGCCCGATCACCGGCGAGTGGTGCCAAACTTGACGCTACCATCGACTGTATTCTTGTTCCCCAAATGCACCATTGGTTCAACGTCATGGCGGCCTTTATCTGAATATGTACAGCCGCAGACGCAGCGTCTGTCATTTTTCATATGCGACCTCAATGTGCTTGCCCTGTGCCAGCCCCAAAGATAGTAGCTTACTTTTATGGAGGGCCCCCCTGGACAATTTTCAGCTGACGTCTCTTAAAATGTAAATTACAATTTTGTCTGGCCCCAAATGTGCAACTATGCTGCGGCATTGTTTATGACTCTATGCGGACTGGAACCCGCCCCAAGCCAGCTGTAAGTTTTGTGGAGTCGTTGCAAAAGGTACGGGCCAAGCAAAACAACAAGAGAAGCCGAAACCTCACCAAAAATGTAATTAAGCAAAACTGGTGGAGGCATCAAAAGCAGTGGCAACTGTGCAGGAAAGCCCATATTGCACGGAGTCAGTCGAAAAAGACTAGAATGAAGAGACCTATGTGAAAGAAGTTCCAATACTGCCCATGCAAACCCCCTTCGGTCAAATGGTCATCGAGTAGAAAAATTGCCAGACAAAACAAGCAACCAGTGCAAAAGGTACAGGCCAAGCAAAACAACAAAAGAAGCCGAAACCTGACCAAATGTAAGGTAAACTGGTGGAGGTGTCCACAGCAGTGGCAACTGTGCAGAAATTCTACATTGCACGGAGTCAGCCCAAAAAAAGGCTGAGTAAGGGGCCTTGTGAAAGAACTTCCAATACTGCCCGTGCAACCCCCCTACGGTCAAATGGTCATTGAGCAGAAAAACTGCAAGAACAAACAAGCAAACGGCGCAACAGGTACAGGCCAAGCAAAACAACAAGAGAAGCCGCAAAAAGTATAAGCCAAACTGGTAGAGGGGGGAGGGGCATAAGTTGCCAATAAAAGGAAACCGCGCTCATTCCCCACCGGGATGTGGACATGGAGCCACATACGCGCAAGAAAATCTGCAGAGATCAGGAGAGCCACGGTATTATTGCGGACAGATAGTTCACCAAAAAACTCATAGCCAGTCTTTGGGCCAGCGCATGCCTGGGCCAAAGCATGGCTCACTGATGATGGCTATGGAGACTTGGGAGGTATGCAAAGCTGTAACCAGCTGCCAAATACGGTCGTTTTGAGCTTCCTGATGGCTGGGCATAAGGGCACCTCGCACATTCCAACTCAGTACTCTCAGGTCAAAAACAGAGCACGTGGCCAGGCCTGGTTCACGTGGCACTTCACTTGTGGCTATTCCGCCTTTCCATGTTCCAAAAATGGTGTTTAAAGCTAAGCCACCGGCTGTTGAAGCTGCCCTTCGGTCTAGAATGTCAAACGTTTGGCCGATTGCACGGTCACAAGATTTGTGCGAGTCAAGATCCTTGCTAAGGTTAGAGAGTCCATGGGGCGGCGCAGATCTCCGCAGTGCCTGAATGTCTCTTCTGAGCACCAAAGCCTGCCAAGTCGCAGATTCTGTCACCGCACAAGGCAAAGGAGCTCGTGACAAGTTCAGCAGCTCGTCATGAGCTGCAGCCACCCATGCTAGAGTCACGAAGAGACCTACGCGAAAGAAGGTCCAACGCTGCCCATGCAATCCCCCTGGTCAAATGGTCATCGAGCAGAAGATTTTGAGAGCAAACAGGCAACCTCACAAAAAATACAAAAATGTAAGCTAAACTGGTGGAGGCGGAGTCAGCCAAAACAGGTTAGACAAAGAGGCCTATGTGTGAAAAAAGTTCAATACTGCCCATGCAACCTCCCTACAGTCAAGTTGTGATCGAGCAGAAAAATTGCAAGAACGAACACGCAAACGGTGCAAAAGGTATCATAAAAGGCGCAGGCCAAGCAACGCAGCAAAAGACACCCAAACCTCGCAAAATATGTAGGCTAAACTGGTGGAGCCTCTGGCAGTGAAAAGACATCCCGAGAAAAAGATCTGCTTGACATCGCCGCTGGGTGGGACCTGGGAAAAGGTCAGCTACATTTCTCAGACAGGGTATTTCCCCATGTCCCCGCTCAATAGGGGTAGGGATATGAGAGCTCCACATCAAAAGAGTTCTTTGACCGTGATTGTCGTTTGTCCAGTGAGTTGACCGCCAACTGTCTTCAAGGAATTGTCCGATCTTATGACTGCGAGCTTACGTTCAAGATCCTCACTACTTACTGGTTTGGCCCAAAGACGTTGGGAATCTTGTCCGTTTTGACACTCAATATGGCCGCAGACTATGGTCCAATTTTACACTAACTCTTCTATCGAAACTCAGCACAGATTGTTACGGTCAATCAAGCCGACCCACTTGATGGTGAAATGACCAGTGACATCCTCAGTCATGGTTTTGTCGGAGTGAGAATGAGTCAGGGTCAACAATAAGAAGGCTCCTGCGTTGGCAATTTTCGCGCAAGGCCTGCAGATGTCCTGTCAATCAGAATTGAGGTATATCGACGTTAAGTGTCTTACCGATAAGACCTGCTGGATCAGCGCGGGCACTGCATTCCGGTGGATTTTCGGCAACAAGCAGTCCGAACAACCTACGACCTTCATTCCCAAGAACAAACTTTTCGAGAGTGTCTCTCCTTATGTCCAAGCAATAGACGCTGGTGTGATTTTTTTAAAATAGCGTCCAGCCAAATAACTGTGAAAGAAGCATATGTACCGGGAACCTTTTTGATAGCTTGCGCGACTGTTTGCTACGATGTGTCTGTGAAGGCAAGTACCAAAAGTTTGGAGTTGACACTTTTTGTGATAGGAACGATTTCGTGGACCTCAAGATCCAACGGGATCATGCGGACCCCCATGGCCTATAAAAATTCAAGCCTACAGGCGCACAAGGCCGGATTTCCTGAGTTCCTGTTTGCCCAGGTCTATCCGCAACTGTCTGTTTTTCTGTTCACGCACGCGGACTATATTGATGAGCGCTATCGCCGGAAACGTGTGGACCATTTGAAGGCTAATGCTTCTCGCCACGCATCTACGCCCGCAGTGCTAGGAGGCAAAATGGCATGAACTTCAGAGGCTGCGTAAGAGCGCCAAGGCCGATATAATTGATCGGACCATGAGCGTTTTAACGTCGGAGAATTTGATTCCACTTTCGGTGTTGCCATTGGTTGGGTCAAGTGTTCGACTCACGCCTCAGCCATGTCGCATAAAGTACGCCTCCCGTGATCTGAGCAATCCGCAATCCAGCATGCCCGCGGGCAGATGCCAGTATTTGGTCTTCGATCCCGCACTCAACAATTTCCGTAAGGAAGAGCAACCTCCAGGACGCTACAAGCGCTTGCCTTATGAGACTCCTTTGATAGGACCCAGGGATGAATCTTGGCATGATCCACGTCAAGTTATGCTCCAGCAAGTGCAAGGCCAATGTCGTTACGAGCTTTGGCGAGAAAAACGGAATGCCGTATGATGCCAAGGCCAAAGCGTTGCGTGCGGTCTCACGTAGATATCTTTCTGACCCGTATATAGCGTCTCATCTCATTGCTGTACAGCTGACGCTTAAATGAGCACCCTGAGAAAAGAGAATCAAATATTTACATTCAAATTTATATATATATATATAGGTATACAAACAGTATATATGTATATTATATTTACGACCTCTTAAGCGTTTAGAATATCGACCAGGCAACTTCATGTTAGGAAAATTGTGTCGACCCCTGTCTGGTCTCATCACCTCATATGTGTACATGGCTGACATATTTGGCTCAAGCCCAGTAAAGCAACCGCTTGCTTGCGCGCCGTAGCGCTTGTCGCTTTCGTTCCATGCTCGTCCTGGACCGCTAGTGTCCTTCGCGTCGACCCCCTCCCCTTCATGGGTTCAACTCCTCCTGGGACGGTTCGGGCTTCTCCTCCTTCCTCGTTATTTGGCGTTTATTGGCGGGCCACGGGCATTTTTACCCGAACCTGCTTTTTCAGCTGGTGTGTATTTCCGTTACGGATGTTTCTGTGGCTCACAGACCTAAATCAAGGCATGTTGAACCACCGACCAACAAAAGCAACCAGCTAGATTCTGGCCCGGGTTCTGACCCAGATGCTCCAAATACCTACTGCCGTTGCCGCTGCTGCTGCTGCTGTTTTGGTGTGGTTGTGTTATGTCGAGCCTCGCCCCCCCTCCTCATTATTATGTTTGCTACTCGTGCTGCAGCTGGAATCGCGTTGAGCTTCTGACCCGCTGCTGCGTTGCTACTGTTGCCTGCCATTGCCTGCTGTTGGTTTTTTGCTGCTGCTTTGCTGCTGTTGGTTTCTTGCTCCTGCTCTGTGCTGCTGCTGCTGCTGCTGTTGCTGCTGCTGCATGGTGGTCTGCTGCTGCAGTTGCTGCCCCTGCATGCCCTGCAGCTGCCCACACTTTACCAACCTTTCGCCCCCCTTTTGTCAAGTTATATATTGAAAACATGATCTTGAATCGGCTCGATTCACCTGCCTTAGCTTTGCTTCTGACTTGTTTGTTCCAAGAACTGTTTTTGCTTGTTCGCTCTTCAGCAAGCCAATCTTGGTTTTGTTTTCATCGCGGGAAGGTGCCATGCTGCAGGAGCTCCTGGAGCGCCGACAGCGTAGGCGTGAGAGTGAAAACTTCGTGGCGGACGTGGAACTCAGGCGCAGACCGACAGCTTGACCAAACAAGTCTGAAGCTGGGGACGAACACAGCGGTGAACTGAACTGGAGTAAAGCAGTGACCATAGGCATGAGAACCATGAGTGCAGCTCGTGCCATCCAACATCAGAATACATCGCAAAAACATGCAAAAACGTTTCAAAAATTGAGTGAAGTTTCGCAACACTCTCCATCTTTGCGAAGACATGTGCTTCCTGATTTGCAAGGCCTGTTGGAGAACCTATTCGGCTATTTACCAAGCCGCCCAGCAGCCTTGTGTTCCTGACCTCTGCCCACGGCCTTTTTGCCGTGAGTTTGGATTGCCCAGCCTGCGGGAAGAAAAAGGCTGCCGGAGAATGGGAGCGTTTGAAGGCACGCTTGAATGCGACTTTGCGGGAGACTGTCTTCCTCTTGTTACCACAGGCCCGCGTTGTGCTCCCGCCCTCCTTGCTGCTGAAACAAGTTTTTGATGACAGAACGGTCCTATCACGGCCAGATCGCTGCATGCCGTGGAAAAGCATTGGTGACCACGCCTTCAAGCAGGGAAACTACTGGATAGCAGGGGCAGCATATGCCAAGAGACTTGCAGAGTTGGGTGTGAGACTGCCGGCAGGTGCATGTGCTGACGACGAAGAGGAGGGAAATGGTCTTGAGACAGAGGAACCAGAGGTGATTGACAGTGCTGACCTCAACATAAAGAGGGGGGGTCCTGATCTGGTGCCCGAGGCGGCCAAAGCTCTCTCCAATCGTGCTGCATGCCTTGTGAAAATTGGAGACTTTGCTGCTGCATTGGGCCATGCTCGAAGAGCTTCACAGCTTGCTCCACGTTGGGCGCGTGTTTGGAGCCGAGTGGGTCAAGCAGCTTGGGATTTGGGCCAAAGCTTTCGAGAGGAAGCTGCTGAAGCATTTGCAAAATCTGTGGAGATGGATCCTTTGATTTCTGCCGTAACAGCCTTGCAGGAAGCCGTGCGGCAACTCCATGGTTCCAACCCGGATGCTGCACATGTTTTGAAGGAAAAAGGCAATGAATCCATGAGGGGTGGTGAGCTTGGGCTGGCAATTGCCTGCTACACGCAGGCTATAGGACAATTGCCCCCTCTCAGAACTGAGACGGCTGAGACTGATAAGCCAGATGAACATGCCTTGCTGCGAGGTGTTCTGTTCATCAACCGATCTGCTGCCTTTTGCCGAGTTCGAAATTGGGATGCAGCCGTGGCAGATGGCAGAGAAGCAATAGCAGCCCAGCCTGGACTATCTAGTGCACACTCGCAGCTGGGAGTTGCCCTCCTTGGTAGTGGCTTTCACCAAGAAGCCTACATTCAGTTTGCAAAGGGTGTCCACCTGAATTCCGAGCACAAACCTTCTCTCAAAGGTCGTAATGCTTGCCTGAAGGAAATGGTAGTTTGGAAGTCAGCCTCTGCCACTACCCGCTACAACAAGCGCTTTTGGCTTGACCTGCGTAGAACCAAAGGCACTACCAGGATCTTTGCCATCTCGGATCTGCACTTTGATCAAAAGTACAATGAGGATTGGGCCCATGGGATTGATGATATGGCATTTTTGGATGATGTCTTGATTGTTGCAGGAAATGCGGCAGATACCAAAGTTGGAGTGATGCGAGCTCTTACAACCCTCAAGGCCAAGTTCAGAAGAGTCTTCTACACCTTTGGAAATCATGAGATGCAAATAATGACATCAGAGTTTGCCCGCTACCCGGACTCTCTCACCAAGATGAACGAGATTTTCACAGCCTGTGATGAAGTTGGGATTGATGTTTTCCCTGCACCTGTTTGTGAGGGTGTTCTCATCATGCCATTGTTGTCATGGTGCAGTGCTGAGTTTGATCACGAAGACCCTTTCCCGGATCCAAATGCCAAGTTCAATTCCAGATGTACGTGGCCAATGGATGCGGATATACAGCTTTGGAAATATATGATGAAGCTGAACGAACCGTTTCTGGACATTCGTGGCTTTGATACGGTGATTACGTTTTCCCACTTTTTGCCACGGCAGGGGTTGCCATTTGACAAGACCAGAAGGAACGCAGTAAAGTCGGTGGGTTGCGATATGATTGATGAACAGGCACGTGCTGTCAAAACAAAGCTGCATGTGTATGGTCACGGTTGCGTGCGAAATGCGCAGATGCATGCTGGAGTGCGCTATGTGAGCTCACCTATTGGCTTTCAGGTAGACTGGCCAAAGGATCACCCTCCAAGGCTCATGATGGTCCACAACGGCCGGAGCCTATGCATGCAGGAGTGGGGCACAGATGACGAACCACCCCTGGGCTACACGAAGCGCTTGCTGCACTTGATTATCTACGCCATGCCAGGCCTGCGAGAAGCAGAGATGCGCAAGATTCAGAACATTGTTACTCACAAATTTGTGGGCACTCCGAATCATCCAGGAATCCTGTGCTCTTTTGATCGACTTGGTAGCAGGAGCCTCGACAAGGAAGCTCTTGCCCAAGATGCTTGGCCTGACATACTGTCATGCAGCCAGGATATGAGTCACGTGTTGACTGTAGTTGCTGATAGCGTGGATGCCCTCAAAGCGTTTCTCACAAGTGAAGCTTACTGCAAAGACTTGTCGACATCAATCTCGCCCCACTCACGGAAGACCGTGTCCTTTTCCTCGCCTTTGGGCCTAGATCTTGTCCATGCCAAGAAGCGAGACCCAATGCTGATCGTGCATGGTCTCCAGCTCAAGGTTGAGGTGAAGGAGGACAGCGAGGAATACGCAAGAATGGCGAAAGCAGTCGAAGCGATTGGCAAGCTTCCAGGCACAAGGGCAAACTCAATTCTCTTGAAGAGCCACACTGTAGCTAGTACTTAGACAGACAGACAGACAGACAGGCAGGCAGGCAGGCAGACAGGCAGGCAGGCAGGCAGAGAAAGAGACAGACAAGCAAACAAGCAGACAAGCAGGCAGACAGACGGACAGACAGACAGACAGAGACGCCTGCCAGGCAGGCAGGCAGGGAGGCAGGGAGGCAGACAAACCACAGACAGAGACAGGCAGCCAGGCAGACAGGCAGCCAGGCAGACAGACAGACAGACGCTGTTTTCCCTGTGACATTACTCCTCTGCGGTGCAGGCAGCATAAGAGACAATTCTTTTAACCTTCAACTCTGGTCCAAGAGTTGTACCAGGTATTGATGGCAAGATTGCCATAGCGCTGCAACCACTTGGATCCGGCCGCTATTCACATGAGGATTTGCTCGAGCGGCTGGGGAACGAAGATCGCGCCGCTGGCATCAGCCATTGTTTCTCAGTGCTTGTGGATGAACCAGCCAGCTACAAAGTCCTTGCGCAAAGCAAAACATTTGGCAAGTTGAGGGCAGCTTACGAGACTTGGGGATTTTGAATTGTTTTCTTGTAGTTGGCCGGCCGTGGGCGTTTGTGTTGTGGTTGTTGCTGGAAACCCTTGACTCGGACTTAGGTGTGCAAAGACTTTATGCCAAGCAATGCCCAGTGAACCAAGGAACCATATTTGATGGGCAAGCCGCTAGCCTTTGGTGTGCCACTGGACATTGCTGCAACTGCGGCCGCGCCGAAGGATGTCGCCAAGGCCAAGAAGACTAACGGTGTGCAAGGATGACTCCACGCCGACTTTTCCCAGAATCAGCCAATGAGAGCCGCGCAAAAATATAGCTAGCATGTTGCAAAGCAACCTGCCAATGCTCTAGCTTTGGCTCAGCTAGGGGCCTTTGCTTCCGCATGGAGACACATGGCCATTTTTTCGCAGCTAATGCAGAAACTCCAAAATGTAGTACAGTCAGTGCGAATGTTGACAAGTGTGCAATCTTAGCCCGTGGCAGCTGCGAGCCTTTTGCGTGAGCCAAGAAATTTTCACTCTTCGAAAAGGTTGTCTGGTGCGTAAGCCTGAGGTGCTCCAGTATGGTACGGATTGGGAACCCATGTGGAGGCTATTCATGCAAACTGTGAAACTGTCGGTCGTGAGCGCCCTCCGTGATCATTCTGGGATTTTTCCACTCCAAACTCCTGTTCTCAGTAAAGTTGCATTCTACCGATGTCAATTGTTCAGAGTTGATGCTTTGGCCAGGTTCCTGGATTGGGTTTTTTCAAGCGAAAAGGAGCACCCTAAGGGAAGGGAAAGTTGTGGACTGTGAGACAGGTGAGAGTGTCTGAGCGCCACCTGGCATTGTGCTCGATCTCCCTCATTCCTGCTCTGGGTTCTTTTCTTGTTTTGGGTTGAAGGCAGGTGGGCTGAGGCAGCTCCTGTGTCATGGTCTCAATGACCACTTGGCATATGCTTTGGACAACCTTTGCCGTGGTGTTGCTTGGCTCGAACCCGTTTTTGTGGCCGCAGCGCCCGCAGAGTTGCCAGTGCCCACTCGCACGCTCAAGCACAGTGACAGCTTCTCTCACCACCTCTTGATTCTAGGGCGCTGACACACTGACCATTGGTTCAATCTGAGGTAGGAGCGTGGCCATCACCCCCCCATGCGAAGCCATGGTTTCGCCATGCGCTGCTGATGCTTGCCCAAGCGGGTGAGCGGATCAGTGACTACGAGGTCCTCAAACTTCTTGGCCGCGGCAGCTTTGGAGTTGTGCCTCATGGCTGCGATAGTGAGTGCACGTCTGACCGTCAGCTGGCTTTGTTTTTCGATATGGGTGCAAAAGGAGCAGTTCGCAATGAGCTTCCATTAACTGATATGTTTGGAGTGGTGGGTGGAAGTGCTGCGGTGAAGTGTGACAGCGTGACTTCCCCCGCACATCTCCCGGCATCGTTTGTAATTACAAACGAGACCTAGATTTTGTTCCTCGAAGAGAGGTGAGAGGTGAACAGAGACTGCACTTTATACTTGCAGACATATACTTAGAACATTGTTTTTTTTCCAAAACCCGAAACCCTTTACTTAGAACATCGTTTTTAGAACATCCTGGATTGCACACTTAGAACGTCCAAGGATTGCTCGCTTAGAACATGCTGCATCAGCACACTTAGAACATTATATATGAGGAACATGGATAGATGCAAGAGGGTTGTATATACATATACCACCTGAGGTCTTTGGCCTGGCGTAGTGGAGTAGCAGAAAAGATCAAGACAGGTCTATACAAGGAGGCTTTCTATGATGAAAGAAAGAGCAATCATGCATGTGCCATGGATTCCATTGTGAGTGTATGCACTTAGAACATGGGGACACAAGCAGCACGTTCCTGTCGCTTGGTGTAGGGGGTAGTGGTGAATAGCAAGACCACCTGAAGCTGTGGAAGCAAAAGGGGGATAGGAGCGACACTGTTGATTCGCGTATGAATAAGTGGAAAAGTTCCAGGCAGGTTTACATAATAAGACTTTCTATGATGAGACAAAAGAGCAATGATGCATGTGCCATGGATTCCTCTGTGAGTGCACACACTTAGAACATGGGGACATAAGCAGCACGTTCCAGTCGCTTGGTGTAGGGGGTAGTGGTGAATTGCAAACCACCTGAAAGCTGTGGGAAGAAAAGGCGGATAGGAGCAAAGCTGTCGTATAGAGTAGCAGAGAAGGTTCAAGGCAGGTCTACATAGTAAGGCTTTCTTTGTGTCAAAAGAGCAATGATGCATTCCTCTCTCAGTGCACACACTTAGAACATGACATGTGTTTGTGTGTTTCACTACACCCCTTGTTTTGTAGCAAGCATTGCATCCAAAGAGCACAGATGGAAACTATTTTTCTTCTCTCTTTCGTGTTGCCCTAGCTCTCAAGTCCTGAACACAGTGAAACATCGCCTGCAAAGGCAACCCCAGCCGCATTGACGCAGGAGCACCAACACTATGTAGGCAAACACAGAATGTCACATAGGCGCATCTTCCCAGAAACAACTATAGGAAATCATGATACAGTTGATTCATTGAACCGTTGCCTCCATTGGCCCATTGCACCAATGCATGCACAAATCCCCTTAGGGCTGCATCACATAGAACAGTTGATACAAACAAACATGGTGTTTTACATTTGAATCAAACCTTATGCATCGGACACAGGTTGCAGTTGTGCAGCCCGGTGGTGCAAGTCACACCAGGTATTGAATCATGAACGCACAGCGCGTATGCACCATTGGTAGGCGCACAACCGGGGCCAAGCTGTACTAAAAGTCTTGGCCATCATCAGCGCTCTGCACATGATTGGACCCCAAGCAAGTCTCTTCAACTCCGGAATCATTCATCAAAACAATAACAATAGATAGATAGATAGATAGATAGATAACAATGTTCAGTACATGGAGAGCTACAAATGAACACTATATAACCTTGCAAGGGAGAATGCTGTTTTCGTGCAGGAAATGGAGGACATGGCCACTTCACACATATAATAAGCTAGTGGGGATTTCCACCAAAGTCCATCATGCTAACCATTGGTGTATCCTTTGGTTTCTTGTGAACCATTCAGCTTGTGCATCTGAATGAAACTGAAGGAATCCCCACACCTCCGGCGGCTCAGTTTTAGGTGGCAGTCCCAACACACTTAGAACATTATATACAACAAACACAAACATTATATATATACATATTTTTGGTTGCGCACCACTTAGCTGGAAACATTTGTACCCTGAGAGATGAAATCAAACACTTTGTGCTGCCTCTGCCTGCTCTACTCGGGCCAATTGTCCTTTCCATAACATATCTTTCGGATTCTGTGAAATGTGAGCATGCAATATACCCCTGATGGCCCGTAGAATGGCTTCTGGCTCACTGCGACGGGTGGTGCCACCCCACACGGCTGACATTGGAATTGCTGCGCGGTTATGGACTCCCGGATACATCCCCTGCCACTGTTTGCTGGTGGCGTGGTACGATATACTGCAACCCGGCACTCCACGCGGTAGCATGGTGAGCCCCTTCTCTTGCAAAGACTTCCAAGCCGGACGAAAGTTGAAGGACTTCACCTTCTTTGCCGTGATGTTGTCCTCATCCAAACATATTTCCTCATCTGAATCTGCTAGTACAAGCAGATCTGCGTCAAGCTCAGCTTCCAGGTTGTCATGGGCGTACTGCTCATCTGCCTCTTGAAGAGCAGCAAACTCATCGGGTGCAGCTTCCTCACCTGATTCAGCTGAACCCTCTTCCGCTAGTTCCATGCCGTCAGCAATGCCCTCGGGCAATTCCAAATCCAGTTCTGAGGGTAGGTCATCATGAGGTTGGATGGACGGGGCACTCTGCAACAAGACAAGCCTGTACTCAGACCCGTCGCTGGCCTTGACCTTCAGCTTCTCAGGATCCTCATGCAGCAAAAGGTCAATTGAGAAGCACCTCTCATCAACATCTTTGGAATCACACACCAGGCACTCATGTTGCTTGGAGAACACCAGCTGCTGCTCACATCTCAACTTCCATTGATCATACGCTTTCTGTTGTCGGCTGCTTAAATTCTTGCCCTGAGCAAACCGACCCTCAATTCTTGTTTCCCATGCTGAATGCTCACTGACAAAGCTACATACTCTCATCTCCAGCACTTGACTGATATATGTAGGCAGCACCACACGAGTGGAGCTATCATCACCCTTCTGGATTGCCCAGCAAAGCTTGGTCTCACCAGCCTTGGTACCACATGTGGTGGGTGCACACTTAGAACATTCACACATGTCCAGAACAGCTATCAGCAAACAAATAGTAACTCCATTTATTATGAGATTGTTTAGACATACTCGTGTACCAAAGCATGTTAAAGCTAGGTCAATCAGAAACATATAGTGTTATATATATACACATACATAAGTCTCAATTTATCCCCAAATTACTGCAACGCCTTTCAAGATCTTGCAAGGCACTAGCTCTTGGACCCTCATGTGAACCAATGTGCCATCGACGTCCTCCCCGTCCACATCCGGTAAGTCTGTAAGGTGCAGAAGATCATCCATTGCACCACGTGGCTGATTCATCTCCTCGCGCATCTGGTCCAGGTTTCCTGATACATAAATCATTGGCCCAGTGACAACAAAACGAGCTTGACTGTTTATATGTTTATGTATGTGCATTTATATATATATACACATATGAAACATTTACATGTGTACAAGATGAGCAATATACTTGTGTGGACATCCACTTAGAACATCCAAGTTCAATGAAGGATTCAAAAAGCAAGGACTCAGTTAAGTTATGTTAAAGTCAGCGACGAGGAACCTCGGAACAACCATCCAGCAATATCCTCTTGAGAGCAATAGCCCCTTTGCAGCCACGACGTCCAAATAAGCCGGCTGTTCCTCACAGACTTGATTCACACAAAATTTGATCCTCATACTTGCCAGTCAGCGACATCTTCCAATTGCTATATATATATATATACAATGTACATTCATGTGTGCGCCACCTATTCTCCACCAGCTGAATACACTTAGAACGTCCCACTCTAATTAAGACCTTGTCCCAACAACCGTTTGGTTTGAGAAGAGGTACCTTTTCTCTTGCAGCATCGAAATTGCCCAAGCATCTGCCCTCAGCGATACTTCCAAAGGGCACCTTGGCTGTGAGCACAGCCCAAGTGGTTTGTCTTGGTAGTTCCAACTACCTGTGGGAATGGTGCACTTAGAACATTGCTAGTGAAATTTGCCTTTGGGAACTAGATATACTGTACAAAGCAACAACCACAACAACAAGAAGAAGCAATACCAAAACTAAATGTTTACCATGCGCAATCCAGATGCTTTGTGCTTGGCTGGGACTGCAGACCCATTTGCAGTTCGTCTAGACGGGTCCGGAGCTGTGGCCAAGAGCCCCACCCCACCGCCAATCGTAGGTACGATTTGGTCAGCGCGTGAAGCCACTGATGCCACCCATCGTTAGGCCCAGCGGCCGCGCCAAAGCCACCCGGCACGGGGGTGGCAGATCGGCCGGACATGAGCTCCTTCAAAGGATGAGCAAAGTATGTTCCCGATTTAAACAAAACACACACACATGTTTGTATATATATATATACGTGTATATACAAATTCATTAAAGAACCATAAAAACTTCAGGAAAATTGACTGTACCCAAATCAAAAGGTGTAGGATGTTCTAAGTATAGAACACAGAAGAAAATCCATTGCGACAAAGACCAAGTGGCAAT